TTACAGAACAGATCATGTGTGCGTGCGTTGTGTGTGTGTGTGTGTGTGTGTGTATGAGACAGAGAGAAACAGATACAAAGACAAAGACAGAGAGGCAGAGGGAGAGAAAGAAAGAGGGACACAGTGAGAGAAAGAAAGAGGGACACAGAGAGAGATGAGTCTGCTTTGCTTGAGATTCAAATATCCTTTATACTAAAATAAAACAAGAACAATATAAGAAAGGAAAAACAATTTTACAATTTCACTAACGAACACGAAGGCAAAAAAAAAAAAATCCAAATAGGGGTACCTGGGTGGCTCAGTTGGTTGAGCGTCTGCCTTCGGCTCAGGTCATGATCCCAGGGTCCTGGGATTGAGCCCCACATCGGGCTCCCTGCTCCACGGGAGGCCTGCTTCTCCCTCTCCCTCTCCCCCTGCTTGTGTTCCTGCTCTCGCTGTGTCTCTCTCTGTCAAATAAATAAATAAAATATTTTTAAAAATCCAAATATTGGTAACTAAATCCAAGAATTATTTTTTTAATTATCTTGACCAAGTTTAGTATATCCCAGAAATGCAAGAAAAGTTTGGCATTAAAAAGCCTGTTAATGTAATTCACCACATTAAAAGATGAAAGAAGAAAAATCATATTTGATTATCTCAAAAGATGCAGCAATAAAAGCTTATGATGTGATTCAACACTTGTTCTTGACTAAAAACTCTAGCCAGCTCGGAACACTTAACCCAAAAGAATAAGATTTTTGCATTTTGATTTAAAACAAATCTGCTAGATTCATTTATTTTGCTTGCATAAGAAATTTTGTAAAAAAAAATGATGTTTTTGAATTATGCTTTTTAATAATTTCAGAACATTCTGACATATATAATTCTTAGGAACTGGTTTCGTTTAGCTAAATATTAAAATATCAGAGAAGTCATAATCAGAAGGTTAATTAGCACAAGGGTGGTGAACAGATCCTATCTCTTGTACAGTTGATCACTTCAGATAGATGATCTTGTACAACAAGCATCTGTTATAGATTAAACTGTGTCCCCCCCACCACCAAAACTCATATGTAGATGCCCTAACCCTCAGTGTGACTATTTGGAGATAGGGATTTGAGGAGGTCATTAAGGTTAAAAGGGTTCAGATGAGTGAAGTCCTAATCCAATAGGATCAGTGGCCTTATAAGAAGAAGGAAAAGAGTTCTCTCTCTCCATCTGAATCCACCAAGGAAAGGCTGTGTGAAGACACAGCAAGAAGGTGCCCATCTACAAGCCAGGAAGAGAGCTCTCAACAGAAATTAATGCACTGGCACCTTGATCTTGGACTTCCCAGCCTACGGATTGTGAGAAAATAAATCTCTATTGTTTCAGCCACCCAGCCTACAGTATTATGTTAAAGCACAGAGCTAACTAAGACAACGTCCACATTTCTTTTTTTTTTTTGCATTTAATAAGACCTACAGCATTTACTGTACACCAGGACTTGGCAATTATTAACTTAGTAATTCTCATAACAACCCACTGGAACAGTTACTACTATTAACTTCATTTTACGGATGAGGAAACTGATACCTGGAAAAGTTAAGGAAGTTGACCAAGATCCCTCACTTCGGATCTGACACTCACCTCCACCCTCCGTGCTCTCCTCCTGGAGCTCACCTCCTCAGTGCTCCTCCTTGTCCCCCATCCACTCTATTTTCCCTCTCTCACACCACACTTTAACTTTCTAAATCTCTCTTTTACATCATTAATTCTCTTTCTGTCACAGGGAGTTTGACCCCTCCTTCACTTTAAAAAAAAAAATCATGACGGGTGACTGGGTGGCTCAGTCAGTTAAGCATCCGACTCTTAGTTTTGGCTCAGGTCATGATCTCAGGGTTGTGAGACTGAACCCCAAGTTGGGCTCCACATTCAGTGCAGAATCTGCTTGAGATTATTTCCCCTCCCTCCCCCTCTGCTCCTCCTCCTGCTCTCTCTCTCTCTCACTCACTCAAATAAATAAAATCTTTTTTAAAAATCATGACTTTATTAATCACTTTTAAAAGCTCTAGCTGATTCCTTTTCACATTTGCCTCATCTGCTTGATAGTATCTCACTCTTCTTTCATGTTTTCAAAGCCTTCAAGTTCTTTTATGATCATTGTTTTTTAATATTCTCCATCTAATTATTGTATTATCAGAAGTTCTTGCATATCTAATTGTGTCCTCTGGTTGTCTTTGGACTCTTGAATACTTCCTGCTGTGTTGGCTAATTTTGGATTGTGAGCTCATCTTCAGCAAGGTTTATCCACAGCTGTCCTGAACTAACTACTTGAAGGTGTAATCCTCCAGAAAAGTTTTGTATGCGCTCTTGCCTGCACCCCGGGTGTAGGAGCCTGAGGCCACCTTTTAAAATTCGTCACTTAGGGGATCCTAAACAGTATAAGAAATATAAATAAGGCAAACAGCATAGTGTAAGCCAATGGTTATGAATTCTCTGGAGAATATTTTTCCCACCACAAGCAAAGCACAAACTGAGACTTATTTTGGTATTGTCTCCTTGTACCAGACTATTAATAGATAGGGGTTTTTTTTATTATTTCTTTCAAGTAGGCTCCATGCCCAATGCAGGGCTTGAACTCATGATCCTGAGATCAAGAGTCGAATACTCCACCAACTGAACCACCCAGGAGCCCTAATAGTCTATTTTAATTTAAAGATGTATTCTTTCACCTCTGAAAGTTTTTATTATATTATTTCTTTGATAAATTCTACCTTTTCATTTTCTTGGTTCTCTCTTTCTATAACTACAAATGTGGAATTTCTTGGGGCACCTAGGTGGCTCAGTTGGTTGGGCGTCCAATTCTTGGTTTCAGTTCAGGTTGTGATCTCAGGGTCATGAGACAGAGCCCCACATCATGCTTGGGCTCCTTGCTCAACAGGGAATATGCTTCCCCTCTCCCTCTCCCTCTGCCTCTCCTCCAGCCCCTCCACACGCTCTTTCTCTCTCTAAAATAAATAAATCTTGGGCACCTGGGTGGCTCAGTCAGTTAAGCATCTGCCTTCAGCTCAGGTCATGATCCCAGGGTCCTGGAATCAAGTCCCACATCTGGTTCCCTGCTCATCGGGGAGCCTGCTTCTCTCTCTCTCTCTGCTACTCCCCCATACTCGTTCTCTCTCACTCTCTCTCGCAAAAATAAATAAAAATACTTTAAATAAATAAATAAATAAATCTTTTTTTTAAATGTGGAATTTCTTAACCTGAGATCCCTTCATTTTCTCTGTAATGCTTTTTTGAAGGGCAATATGCTAGTTTTTCACTGGAAGATCCAAAAATGTCAACATCTGGATTCTGTTCTTTGTGACCATTCTGTTTCTCCAGAAAATAACTTTCCATGTTTTCCAATTTGGTGCTGGTGTAGGCGGGACAGGGAGAGGCAAAGGTATATGTCTGTTCCTTCAGTTCTGTGAGAAGGAAAGAGCCCTGCGCTCCTCTCCATTTCCTACCCACTTTTCAGCCCTGAGGCACACCCACCCTCTGCTGTACCTGGGAACTTGAGAGCAGAGTGTCTCTGGCTCAGCTTCCCTAGAGAAGTAGCCTCCAAGCCTCCAATCTCCTCTGGGGTGGGGGTGGGGGGAGTACAAAAAAGGGGAGTAAGGAAGATGGTCATATTTCTCAGGCTGCCAGGGTTAAGGGAGGGTCCTGAGGATCTAGCCCCTCTATATAGAGCCTGTCACATCTTCTTGCATTTTCAGCCCCCACTTGCCTTGATATCTGACTATATTCGTTTCCTGGGGAGGCCATAACAAAGTACCACATAAATGGTGAGAAATGTATTGTCTCACAATTGTGAAGACAAGAGGTAAGAAATCAGATGTTAAGAAATAAAGTAAAAATAATAATAATATAATATAATATAATATAATATAATATAATATAATATAATATAATATAATATTAGAAAGGAAATCCAGTTTTGGCAGGATTTGTTTCCTCTGAGGGCTGTGAGCGAGAATCTGTTCCAGGCCTCTCTCCCAGCTTCTGGTAGCTTCAGGCCTTCCTTGGCTTGTAAATGCTGTTCTCCCTGGATCTTCACATCATCTTCCCCGTGTGCGTGTCTTTCTCTGTCCCCAAATTTTCCCTTTTTATAAGGACACAGTCAGATTGGATTAGGGTCCACCCTACTGACCTCTTTTTAAGTTGATTGCCTCTATCTAGATCCTCTCTCCAAATAAGGTCACATCCTGAGGTCCTGCAGGTTAGGACTCCAACATACCTTTTTTTGGAGGGACACAATGCAACCCATCACAGTACTGAGCCAAATCCTCTCCAGAATCCTGCAGAATGGATGGGCTCGTTTCCACATTCTTATGCCTTCCTGCCTCCTCCCACCCACACACACATACACAGGCAAGGACACACGTGGATACACTTAAACACACACACACACACCAGAGAGCTTGGAGTGTGGGTTTCCTTGGTCTCTTCATTCCATTACTCTTCCATCTGCTTTGCCTCTTCTCCCATTACCTTTGCTTTTTTTTTGAGCCATACCATTTATACTCTCTTTCAGCGATTCCAGCAGGATTCAGAGAATAAGCAAAGATTAACCCTTTACATTCAGCTCCACATTTAACTGGAAAACACTCGGGTGCCACACTCACCGATGCCTGTTAGCATTGCCACAGAATCTTTCTGCAGATAAGCCAGACACCCGGCCCTGTAATGGTGACCTCGCATGATTCTAAACCGCACGCCTCTGAACATCGCCTTCTTTTACCAGAAATGCCCAGCGACCCTGATGACAGGAGGGAGGGCATGGCTCCTAAAGCTTCACCTAATTTCTGATCAGCTGCCCCAGGCTGATTCCTCTTTGTCCTTCTCCAGCCGGCTGTGCTCCTCTACTCACCCAGGACGTTTATACTCCACTACTGGAAGTAACCTGTCACTTTAAAAGAAAAAAAAAAAAAATGAAGCCACCAAGTGACCTCCCTTAGGAACGCGTTGCTAAGCGGGTGTTTTGCTCCCAGATGGCTACAGCCTCCCGGGGAGCAGCCCAGCGCCGCCCCAACGTTCAGCCTTTCCCTTTGGATTCTTTTAGAAGATTCAACAGTAGGACTCGTCTCTCTCCACTTTTACTTTCATGCCAGAAAGCGGAATCTGCAAAGTGCTTTGTAAAGTTCCGTAAGGTAATCCGTTCTTACCGGGAAAGGGCTGCAGCAAGGGTATCCTGCCTCCAGTGACCCGCGCTTGGGGTTCAGCCTCTCCCCTCCGTCACCCTGAGGGGATTTACTGAATTGTAAGTGTAGGGGTTCTCATCACTGTGATTTTCGTTTTACTTTCTGGAATTGAATCATAGAGTATTACTGGGGCTGCTTTGATTTGAGCGGCCGTCTGGTGTCTGGTTTGCAGGAAATGGAAGTCTGGCTCATCACTGCCCCTGGGTGGAATTCCTCCCAGATGGTCGCTCTGCTTCCTTTCTGGGATTTTCGTGCCGTCCTGTTGCATTCCGGTGTCCCAGAAACATTTGCTGCATGTTGCATTTCTGAGCCTTTCAGTTCGAATTGGTTCAAGGGGTGAAGTGCTAGTTATTGCAAACTTCATTCTGTTTGGCAATAGTCAGAGAGCCATTACAGACAAAGGGAAGAGGATCACCACTTCAAAAAATCACAAGAAAATCTTCTGGCAGTTATTTATACTGCTAGTTTGCCTTCGCTGAAGAGAGGTGCTATGGAAAGCTAATAAAGTCTCATGGGAAAGACATGTCTGTTATTGGATTTTCATATAACCTCTTCTGCAAACAAATTCAGCTCCAGAATGAAATATCTCTCTATGTCTATCTCCTAGAGCACATTTAAAGAGCTGTTCACGCCAACATTTATCGAGCATGAACAATGCACTGAAGTGCTAAAGTTCAGAGTGTACAGAAATGCATTAGACCGGTCAGAAGCTCTGAGTTTACTTGGAAGACAGACCTATAAACAGATGCTAACAGTACAAGGAGCTAAGCACCATCAGATATTTATAAAAGAGTCGAACATGCTCGAAGCACAGTGAACTACTCCTAGGGAGGGCCTGAGAGCCCTTAGTTCATCATGTAAATGCACGGGGCATAGACCACAGAGCACAGCTCAAGTATGGCTTTTATACGTACTCTTCCAGGGCAATGTGCGTTATGTCTGACTAAATGATTCTATAAAGCTCTATGTCACTAACCTCATACAAAGGGAAGCTGCGGCTGGACTACCTTGTAGAATTAGATAATGAACTTAGAAGGGGTCTGTGTGGCACCTGCCAGGGTTCCGGGCTCCAACCCTAACAGGCTAGGACAGAACACGCTAAGCACAGTACACAGAGAGGAAATGCCCATGGGCATGTGGGGCTGGGGTGGGGGGTGTTTCAGAAGCAGCAGAGAGCTTGTTTGGAGGTTCTAGTCGGGGAGCGCAGCTACTCGTATACCCTTGACCGAAGAACGGTCCTCCCCTATCGGGGAAGGTCGTCCTCTTCGACCGAGCGCACAGCTTCTGGAGGGACGCACATGGAGAGGTGAGGGAGGAAGGGGACACCCGCCTAGCCAGCCAGATCAGCCGAATCAACCCTGGCGATCAATGGGGTGACAGATGTCACAGCCAGAAACACCAGAGAGAAGGGAAACTGCTCTGGGCCCAGCTGGGGGAAGGGAAAGTGAATACCTCATGTTTTAGAGCCAGGAGGTTGTAAATGGGAACCAAAGATGGTAATGGGGGGCTTGAATGTCGCCTCTGATCTTTCTTATGATTCCCCTTCTGTCCTCTAAGCTCTTTTTCCAACCCCACTCCTTTCTTCTACTTTCCCTCTATAACATCACCTTTTCTTAATGATAACACTTACCCATCTCGAGAGCCTGGTCCATGCTAGGCGTTTTACCCACCCACTCTATCATCTAGCCCTTCTAGAATCATCACTCTTGGAGGTAAGAATTATCATCACAGGTGTACAGGCGAAGAAATGTATCTCAGAGGCGTGAACATATTGCCCCGAGATCACACAGCTGATAAATAGAGCTGGAATGGGAACCCAGGTTTAGATAATGTTTTACAAAGGTCTCAGTATTTCTATACACCCATGTTCGCACTGTTTTGGAATAGGAGCCTCATACTGTGTTAGTCTTTAAGTAGCCCGAGGTGAGATGCAGTGCATCCCATGTCATATACCTTCATTCTTTTCCCTACATTCTGTAGAATTTGTCACAGCGTCCTCCAGTTATGACTCTGATCCACTCGTGACTCTCAGAGACAGTCCATTTGTTTGGATGAAAGTATCAGTACTTCCCTAGAAAAATGTCTTTGGGTTTCTGCACTAAGTTAAATAAATCATTGACCTAAAGTAGCCAAAGCCCTTTCTCACTGGGGCAATACTCTGCAATTTTCAATCGTACATATTTCCAGGATAGTGGACTAGCATAGACTAGTCACTAACATCATTACAAAAGCAGGAATAAACAGTGGGACAGAGAGGTAGAGTGGCATGGGGAGGACTGTGGGATCAGCAAGTCTTGGGGTCGCATTCCAAATGTGACATTTAATCACTATAACCTTGGACAAATCGTGTAACCTGCCAGAGGCTAACCTCAGAGGAAGCCTTGGTCCCTCCCATGGGAACTGAGGCATGTACAACAGAGCTGTCGTAAGGTCTGGGGCTATAATACATCTAGAGATAGCACAAAGTGAGTCTGCAGTAAATCATGGCTCTTATTTTGATGATTCCAATAGGAATGCATTAACAAGTGCTCAATGCATTTGGTGATGACAAGCTGCATCTTAAAGTCGGGCAGTATTGATTTATCTTTTCTTAGGAACCACGCTCACGAAAAAATAAAATTTGATGTCATTTGATTTCCTGAGAAACTCATTCAAAGGTAATGATCAGGAAAGGATGAGGAGAAAAAAATCAACTCCGTTACATTTTTCATTTTTACATCTGTTTCTTTCATATCTAACTTTTTTTTTAATTTATTGAGAAAGAATCTTTCTTTCCTAAAATACGTCACAGTTCTTTTTTTTTTCCAGCTCATAATTGCCGGAGTTGTTCACTAGAGAGCTTTCACGTCCGTTGGCATTTTGTTCTTATTCTCTGCCCTTTGTTCTGTCTGGATCACCTCCTCTGTCCTTTTATCTTCTGAGCTGCTGTGATCAGTTTCCTTCCGCCGTTTCTGGGAGGCTATAAGGAGGTCTGGAGGGGAAACCACAGATTTTCAGATGCTTTGTATCCCTGGAATATGCTAATTCCCCTTTAGGGTCAGGGCAACCTTGAACACCTCAGATGAGCTGCTTAAATGACAGGGTCCAGCTGAGATTCAGATCCCAGGATATTAGGAAGGGCTTATGATTCATCAGCCACAGCTGTTCTCCCCGTGTCCTCCCATTTGATCTTCACGGCAGCCCCGAGAGGAGAATGAAGATTTAAAGGGGCTTCAGAAGGTGCCCACAGGAGACACAGTCAATAAATAGTGATGCAGTCATTCGTTTGAAACTCATTTATTGAATGTCTGCTGTGTGCCATATTCTTAGACTCTGGGGGTAAACAATAAACAAATGTCCCTGCCCTCTTGTAGCTTATATTCTAATGGGAACGGGCAAACAATAACAAATAAATATGTAGAGAGGTGATAAATACTATGGAGAAAGAAATCCTTATAAGGCAGTCAGGGAGTTCCAGGAAGGTGAAGGAAGCAGGTTATCATTGTATTATGAGTGTTCTAGGAAGACTTCTCTGAAGGGTCTCTGTAGGGTCCTGAAGGAATTAAAAGAGACAGAGAGCTGTGCAGTTATCTTGGGCAAGAGAGTTCTAGACAGAGGGAACAGCAAATGCAAAGGCCCTGAGGCCAGAGGATTCGAGTGCAGATCATGTAGAGCCATGTAGGCAATTGAAAGGGTTTGGGATTTTACTCTGTTGAAAAAAAGGAAGTCGTTGGATTTTGAGTGGAGGAAGGACATGACTGCACTGGAATTTTAAACAATTCACACTCTTCAAAGAACAAACTGTAGGTGAGCCAAGTGGGAAACAGAGAAGTTAGGAGGGTCTTTAAAGAGTTCATGTGGGAGACAAGGGTGCCTGACCAGGCTGATGACAGTGGAGGGCTTGGAGGTGGATTGAGGTGCTTAGAGGAGGTTGGATTCTCAATATAATTTGAAAGCACAGCTGACAAGATTTCTGTGGATTGTATGTAGTGTGTCATATGAGAGTCACAGAGGAGTCAAGGACTTCAAGGTTTCTGGCCTAAGACAAATGAGTTCTGTCTATGGCAACAAGGAAGGTTGCAGCACAAGCAGATTCGGGGGTGATGACATGGAGCTTCATTTGGGGCATGTTAGGCCAAGTGAGGGTATCCATCAGGCATCCAGATATTTGAGTCTGGAGCTCTAGGGAGGTGTGTGGGCCCAGGGTGTAAGTGTGGGGAGCAGCAGTGGACAGGCGGCTTTGAAAGCCAAAGGCAGGGTAAGACCACCATGAGATGAGTATGGGCAAAGCGGGAGCCCCCATGTGGTAATCGGGGAGGTGCAGGCAGATCAGAGCAGCCTCGGAGCCTGAGACGGGGGAGGAGGAATGCCAAGAAAGAACACCTCCCAGAGCCAAGTGAAGAAGCTCTTTCAAGAAAAAAGCAGATGATGGGTCACTTTCGTTACTAAATGCTTCTGAGGGTCAAATAAGATGAGCGCTGAGGATTTATCATTAGATGTGACGAAGCAGGGTCACTGGAGACCCCAACAAGAGCAGTTTGATGGAGTGCTCAGCCCAGCAAACCGATTCAGAAAAAGGGTTTGAGAAGCTTTCCTGTAGAAGGTTGAAAAATTGAGCACTAGCTAGAAGAGAAGTGAAGTCCAGAGAAAGCCCTATAAAGAAGGGGCCAGGGGCGCCTGGGTAGCTCAGTTGGTTAAGTGTCTGCCTTCAGCTAAGGTCATGATCTCAGGGTCCTGGGATCAGGCCGCGCATTGGGCTCCCTGCTCAGTGGGGAGTCTGCTTCTCCCTCTCCCTCTGCCCCTCCCACAACTCGTGCTCACGCACTCTCTCTCTCTCTCTCTCAAATAAATAAATAAAATCTTTTAAAAAATAAATAAAAAAGAGGGGGCCAATTGAAGTACTTTGTTCAGAGAGGGAAATGAACCAATACAGCAGGAAGAAGTGATTATCCAGAGGAAAGGGGGAAATTGTCAGCTCAAGGTCCCAGAGGAGGGTATGTGATGGGGCCCGGTACACAGGCTGAGGTCCCAGCCTAGATGGGAGCAGGGATGGGCACAGTAGTGAGTGGAAGCAAAGTAGAGTGGGAAAGGGGCAGGGGGTGGGGGGAGCCCCCTCTGGTGTTGTCTCTCTGTTCAGTGAAATGAGAACCAAGGCCAAGGGGAGAGAGTGAGGAAGGGGTGGGAAGGTGGAGGTTTGAGGGGAGAGGAGAAGCTATGAATTGGTTGCCCACCAGGGTCCTCTGACTTCAAGGGCAGAACTCTTTCTCACTCCCACCTGCTGCACAGTGGCGCCAGGTTCAAGGCTGGGCTTATTGCTGGGCTCATGGGGTCAGAAGGGTCTGGCATCCTTCCTTTTCCTCTGGGACTCATTTCCACCAATCTAGGCCTGCAAGCACATATTCCTTAGGAAGGAAACATCTACTCAGCTCCCACACTTCACTAACCATCGAGGTCAGCTTCATATTCATGGATAGTAAGAAAGATGTTTCACTGATTTTCAAAGGTCTGACTTCTTGGTTTTTTGTGTTTTTCCCCCTGTCCAGGAGCAGCCATCGCAGCTAAAATGAATCCCAAGGAAGAAAAAGTAAAAATAATTACAGAGGTAAGAGGCTGCTTAGATGTTCCCCTAAAGGTGTGTTTGTATGTGCAAAGATGCATGTCACACGTGTTTCTGAGTGAGGACGTTAGGTCAGCAACAAGCATTTTTGCACACCTGTTTCACCCAGAGGGTGCTGTCAGGCACGCGGTGGGGACGGGGGCTGATGTGTAGGAAATGCATCCTTGCAGGCTCTCCAGGGGCGCACCTCTCTGTGAATGCTCTGAAGCTGCTTGGTCACCATTTCATGAATTCCAACACACAGCGGTCTTGAGTTACCACCTGCTGCTGAGTTAGCTCTGCTGAAGCACATTGATTAGTAGAGAAAGTCAGAGTGAAGGTAATAATCATAGATTATAACCACTAATAAAATCCTCTGTCTCAAGGAGTCCTGCAATTTCCAACCCATCGTGTACAAAACATCATTAAACACTATCTAGAACAGAGAAGGAAGACCATCTCCTGTTGGGAGACCGTAGACCTCTGAACAGAGGAGAAGCTACTGCTCTCAAGCCTAGCTTCTCTCCTGGCTCCAGGGCCCACTGACTTGAGACCACAGAGGCAGAAATGGAGAAGATAGGCTGTTTTCTATTGAGGACTTCTGAAGCCAGAAGGAACACATTACACAGCTAACCCACAAGATACCCAATACTGACAAACCACATAAATCTACATCTGCTTATGCATTTATGCAACAAACATTTATTGTGCCTCTGGTCCCTGGGGATACAGCAGCAAACAAAACCCTGTGCCTTCATGGAGTTTACATCCTACCTAATTTGTGGTCTACTACTAGACAGTTTTCCACTGGTAGAGAATCAAAATATTATTGGAAAGCAAAAACAAAAAAAACCCCAGATTTCTCACAAGTCTATTCTAAGCCAGTGAGAACTTAAACATGGATTAAGGGCCACATTTGCACACCTCAGTCTTATCAACATCCTATAATCTAAGTTGGCTAGCTCCTAAGATAAGAACACCCCCTACCTGGTGGCCCTGAACCATGAGGCCCCGGTAAGAATGGGGCTCGCACCCAGAGGGTGAGTCGGGGAGATCAGGTCCCTTGGACAAAAGACAAGCCCAAGCTCTGCACATTCCCTGGTTGGGACCAGTTCCCTCTGCTAACCAAAGTTCTTGCCATCTCTAAGCTGTACAACCAAGGGCAGGGATGGGCAGTTGGAGGCTGGCTCAGCAACGTGCATGACGTTTCTTTGAAATCTTAAATCATAGCATTAAAATCCATTCTTTGTGTTCCAAGTTTACTTCAGTATCAAAATAAAAAGGGGCGCCTGGGTGGCTCAGCTGGTTAAGCGTCTGCCTCAGGTCATGATCCCAGGGTCCTGGGATCGAGCCCCGCATCGGGCTCCCTGCTCAGCGGGGAACCTGCTTCTCCCTCTTCCTCTACTGCTCCCCCTGCTTGTGCTCTCTCCTTCTCTCTATCAAATAAATAAATAAAATCTTTGCTTAAAAAATCCCAGTTTCATATTGAACACCTTTCTAATGAATTCAGTGTAACAGGGACAGGGTCCGGGTTTACCTTGCAACCTCATTTACACCCAGAGGTGCCTCTGCCCCCGTTTATAAAATTCTAGAATTGGAGAAGTTAAAACTTGAACACTCCAGAGCATTCAGCTCTAACATTTTATGACTAAAACTTTAGAAAGTGTAATACGGAAAAAGAAAACAAAGTTTGCACTGTGAAAGAATTTCTCTGTTTTCAAAAAGACCCGCAAACATTTTCTTTAAATTGAAACCTCATGGCGATTGAACATGTATCTTCATTATTCTGGACTTCAGACTGAAGCTGGAGGTGCAGAGGAGCCCGGCCCTTGAAACCCCATCTGATTCTGATGTCATCCTCTGCTGGGGCCCTCCGTCTGGACACACCGGCTGTCCTGGCAGATTCACTTGTCCTTGACCGTCATTAGATCATGCATTTTGAGGCCAGGGAGTCTCCCCGGAAGCACAGTGGATGTCTTATGCACAAACAAGGATCTGGGCCAGTGGAGGCTCCAACGTCACCTCATTTACGACGTTTCCATTTGGATAGAAATTTTTGAGACCATGCTTATTCTGAGAAGAGTAGGAAGATGCTGGTGGCTGCTCAGACCGGGGCTACTATCCCTTCTCTCACACTCAACTTTCAGGGAGGGGGCAAGATGGCCATTTTAATGTTAATACCTAAAGTGCACCCTTCTTCCTCTCTTACTGGGCTTTGTTTCCCAACTGACACACAGACCGAGTGATGACTCATCCCTTTGCATTTTTTCAAAGGAGTTCATTGAAAATGATAAGGACGCAGGTGTGGGAAGACAGAAGAAGACCCCAAAGGTTGCAAGACAAAAAAGGAAGAAACGGGTAGGTGGGGCTAGGGACCACGTGTCTGTGCATCGGGCCGATCCAAGGTGCTCCCACCTGCCAGGGACCACACCTCCTCCTGGGGGTGCCCCCTGGAAAAGGCAGGGATGCGGCTGGAAGGTGCGGGGTGTAGGACCTGTGTGGGGCCTCACAGGTGACCCCCACGAGGAGGTCCTGGTCAATACCCTGGGCGTTTTCCTTCTGAGGTTCCTCCCATCTCCTGAGAGAAGTCCAGACAAGAGGGAAGGCGGAGTCTCTTGACTGTTGTCCTCAAAGGCCATGAACTGAGGCTGGCGATAGATGGCAGTGCAGGACTACTAATCATGGGGAACTCCCCCTTTCTCCAATTTCAAAACCCAAATTCAGCTTCGGTCTAAATCAGAGGCCCACCCCCCCACCCCCCAGCTCTCCTCCACTGGAGTGACCCTCCTTGGCTGGGAGCATCCATCCCCCTTGCAAGACCAGCCTTCTCAAGGTAAATAAATTCCCATGTTCAGGAGCCCCTGTTGTGGGAGAAGGGGAGGCAGGGAAGATCTTGCCGAGAGGCAATTTGCTTGGAATAATGGAGATGCCAGCAAGGCAGGGAAGGGAGACAGCGCCATTTTGAGCCTGGGCCACGTGATAGGGATGCCTGGAGAGGGTGGCCGGGAGGTGGGGAAGGCACCGGGGGAGCTGAAGTCAGGGAGAAGACCCCTCTCTCCACCCCCACCCTCCACCCCTCCCCAGCACACTCCGGCTGGGACAAGCTGGCCGAGGGGAGGCCTCTGCGTCTCCTGCAGCTGGTACGGAGCAGCCCAGGGGAGGGCCAGGGCGTGGGAGGTGCTGCTGGCCACGTGGCCACACAGGGAGCTTTAACCCCTTCCTAGAGGACCCCCCCCCCGCCCCCCGCCAGGCTCTGCAGCCAGGGCAGGGGACCCAGCACCGACAGAAAGAGTGCAAGTCCTTAGCTCAAGGGCCACAGGCACAGCGAGCAGAGGTGACAGGCTGGGGGGAGGGTGCACCCGGACAGGACAGGAGAAAGAGGCAGGGATGGGGAGGAGAGCTTAATACCAGGCACCGTCTCCAGCATCTAACCCATGAGGGAGCCCAGACTGCAGACCGCAGAGCAGGAGCAGTTTGGGGGGCGTTGCAAGAAATCCAGAGAACTGTTTCTTAACTCCAGCGGCACTTCAGAATGGAATTTGGGGGAGTGGCTTTTTTTGTTTGTTTTTAAGTCGGTGCCTCAAATCCAGCCCAGGCCGTTCATTTAAATCACGATGTCCGCGCTTTGCACCTGGCCTGATACAAAGCAGCAAGCCTCTCTGTGAATGGGCTATTTTCACCTCCCGTCTTTTACAGACGGAGAAGGGAGGAAGCTAGGCAGTTAAGTAACTTGCCGCCCAAAGTCCCACAGTTCATCTGAGTTCAGAGGCAAGCCTTTTTCTGGCCCCAAAGGCCGTCGCTCAGCCTTGGCCTCCACCGCCACCTCTGCTCACCAGCTTCCCCTCCCCGGGGAGCAGGGGAAGAAACTGGAGGCTATTCTTTGCCCTGAATTATCCAGGGACACTTTGGCAGCTGTTTCCAGATGATTTGGAGTCAGGATCACATAGTTTGGCCATGACTTTCCCGCTTCCCTTTTCCACCCAATTTCTGCAGAGCTGTGCACCTTATATGTAAAAATAGTGGAAATATTTATTTTATTTGGGAATGCCTCGGTAATTTCGCAAGGACCCTCTTAGACAAACTCAGGGCTAGCACCCCTTTTCTGACGCAGGTGACAGGTCACGGATATCAGACCTGAATAGTATTAAGGTCTGTCCCCTCGCTGAGTGACCTACCTCATCCCCAGATAGAATCTGAGTCAACCGAAGCCCTGGGAGTAACAACCTCTGACCCTCTGCCCACAGCTGCCCACCACTGGCCCCGAGGAAATGGTGCCTGAAAATCTCCACTTCAACCAGCAGGGGCCTGTGCCGGAAGATTCTGACACTCGCCCCCTGAGCATGACGAGCCGTCGAGGTCCACGGAGTAAGTGTTCCTCCATTAATTATTAATTAATTGCCTACTGTGATCAGCACAGAGCCACATGGGGATTTTTAATGGGTATTATTTCTCATCCGTGGCTGCCACCCCTCCACCCACTTCACCCCAACTCTATGGATAATTTTGTTGGTTAGCATCTGTCTAGGAGACAAGACACATAGCTTCAGGACATGATTACATAGCCACATAAGTTTGGAAGTGTTACTTGAAATAGAAATAGTACAGGTAATCAAATTTGTAGAAATTCGGGCGCCTGGGTGGCTCAGTCGTTAAGCGTCTGCCTTCGGCTCAGGTCATGATCCCAGGGTCCTGCAATCAAGTCCCACATCGGGCTCCCTGCTCGGCAGGAAGCCTGCTTCTCCCTCTCCC